TTCTTCCTCCCACCTTCCTCCACGCTGGTCTGGCTCTTCCCAGCCATGCTAGGAATCACAGGCACATCCTGCCCTGGGTCCGTCATCAACGGGTGTAACTACAACTGCTTGTGCTTATAGACCCCGAGTGTATTCTACAATAGCTCAGGAGTTTTAAGGTGATGATGATGGTGTTGGCAACAGTGTGGCTGCTGCTGTTAGTAATAAATAGCCAACACTGGCAAAGAGACCATCTAGTTCAGAGGGACTTTTCAGCTGGGCAGACCTGGATTCATTTCCCATTTCTCCATTTAGTAGCTGTGTGAACTGTTATATTTTATTGTATTTTATATATTTTATATTTGTTATATTTTGGCTCATTTGCCTGACAGTTTCAAATACCTGTTGCAGCGAGAAAACTACCCCAAGCCTTGAAACAACTCTTTCTCCCCCCATACAGTATTGTGGTTCAGGAATTCAGAAAGACGTGGCTGGGAGGTTCCTCTCTGATCCATGGCATCAGCTGGGCAGCTGTTAGAGGATCCACTTCCGAGATGGCTGACAGCCCATCTTAGTGACCCGTCCATGGCTGGCATTGAGACAGGGACTGTGGGTGTAGTCAGGGTAGGGTGAGGGACCCTGGAAAAACACCCCTATCAAAACTCCGTATTTAACAATTAAGCAAAGTCAGAGTCACATTAATTCTCTAAAGTAAAATATCAAACTAAGAATATAAGCATTCTTCAGTGAAGATTAGTTAGAACTAAAAAGCCAGGAGTAACAGCCTGCAATGTTTGAACATCCCCCAGAAAAGAAAATACCTCAGCATAGCCCATGTCTTGTTTGTGTCAATTAAATGAGGCTATTGTAAAATTTACTTTAGCCGCTAAAGAGCCCAGGTTATCTTTAACTTCACCCAGATGCTGCTTTTCCTCCTCCAGCCCCTAATCAAGGAATATACAACCTGGGCAATTAATATAGCAGGCAGGCCCAGCCGTAAACAACATAGCAAAAGGCAAGATAAGATTGCATTTTAACACCCAAGAAGTTAAGAAGTAAGATTCTTAACGTACTATTTAGCAAACACAATAACTCAGCCACCTTGAGAGCAGGACAGGCAGCCTTGATTAATATGCTCCCAAACCAAGAAACTGCTATTCTGAGAAAGAATCAAAACAGTAAATTTCTTATGTTAACTCTGCAAAATAGTCCGGAAAACTGATAAGAAACTTAGTGTCTCTTCAAAGATAAACATTTAGAGGCTGTTTAGTGGGTCTGCATCCCTAGCCCTTTGTCTGTCAACCGCCTATAAATCCCCTAGACAACGCACTACGGACTCTCTTGTCCCCTCCTGGCGTGAGCCGGGAGCTCTACTCTCTCACTGTATCTCTCAGTAAAAGCCTCCGACCTGCTCTCCTACCTTGGGTGTTTGCGAAATTCATTCTTCGACTCCGCAAACAAGAACCCCGGCATCAGCATGAACTCCTTCCCCTCTTCAATCTCTGATACCCTAACTAGACTGCCCCCCAACACGATGTCCTCTTCACTTGTCACTGCCCTGCTCCCCATGCTGGGCAGCCTCCTCTGTGGATTCCTGCTCACCCTGCTCAGACTCGGACGCCTGGCTTTTGGTTCGCCTCCAGGGTGGATTCCGCCTCAGGCTGTCTGCTCTCTGATTCCTCTGTGAGCGTCAAGTGAAAGTGCCCTTCCGCTGGTGTCTTTGTTCATGTACAACAATAGCAATGATAGTGTTATACACTGCAGTAATAGTATGCAGCTGCATAACAGTATTACAGCTCCTTTCAGGTTCCCGGATCCGATTCTAATGCCCACGTGGAGGGGAAAAGCGGGGGAATGGCCTTCCCACACAGGACTCCAAGCAATTCTCAAACACCAGCACACTGTCTGAGAGCCCAACTCAGTTCTGACGCGGTCTGCCCAGAGACAGCACCAGATTCCCCAGGTTAAGGGCTCTGTCCTACCCTCCACCCCCAACTCCAGACGCGGGGTCGCAAGCCGCGGGCAGTTCCCTGTGCTTCTGACCTACCGCCTACAGATTGGAGGTTCCTGTGACCTCCCCCTCGGTTCGATTAATTTGCAAGAGCAGCTCATAGAACTCAGGAAAACACTTAACAGTTTACCAGTTTAATAAAGGATACCGTAAAGGATACAACTTAACAGCCAGATGAAGAGATACATAGGGAAAGGTCCCGAATAAAGGAACTTTTATATCCTCGGGGATCTTGGTGTCCGGCTTGCCGAACATGGAGGTGTTCTGGTTCCCCAAGCTTAGAGGCTCTTCTCTGACTGCAAAACAGGACCTAAGAGAGTGATAAGCTCTTCTGTGAGGGCTTCATTGCATAATCATAATTCACTAAATCATTGACCATTGTCTGATTTGACCTCCAGGCCCTGCCCTGGGTGGGGATCCAAAAGTCTCTCATGAACATGACAAGACACCCATTTCATTTTTAAAGCTCTGCAGGAAATGTGGATGAGGAGAAATATATCTGGGAAATCATGTGAATGACCAAGTATGTATTTCTTATAACTCATTATATTGTACCTTCCTACTCTCCTTGGGTTCTGACTCCAAAGCCGGGCCCGTCTTTCCATAGGGACACCATCCTTGGCTGCACTCAGATTCTGACACCCCGCGGCTGGTTGTCTCTGGTGTGGATGTTTTCAGACGCTGCTCAGGTTCCTGCAAACCTTTCCCTCTCTGCAGAGATGCCTTCCTCCCTGGGCTTGGCCTCCTGTTGCTGGGCAGCTGCGTCTCGGGGGTCTCTCCCTGCTCACTAGGTGAAGCACTAGAGAAACAGCCTGGACGGGGGAGGGTTCTTGACTGGGGGAGAAAGAATTCTGGAACAGGTCAGACGAATGTAGGTGAGGAAGGAATTCATTAAAGCAAGAGTGGCAGGGAATGGCAGCTGCCTTGCAGGCAGCAGAGAACAGGAAAGTGCAGAGGAAAAGAGGGAAAGTTCTCAGCCTAGGGCAGATTCCCTTGCCAACTCCTGAAGCCAGGGTCACCTGGCATTCTGTGTCTGCTTGGATCTGCACGGCATGGGGAGCATGGGGACTAGCCCCTACCACTCCAGGATTTGGGGGAGCCACCGAGCACAGCATGGAGTAAGATTATGTTCTGAGACCTTCCCAAAGAAAGGAGATTTTCAGGCAGGCTGCTAAGAGCAGATGGCACAGCTGCAGTTCCATCCAGGTCACCCAGGTGACAGAAACATGCAGGTCCAAATCTGAGCCCTTAGCAGCCCCTTCCTCCTTACCAGGAGTAAAGTGGAAACAGAGTGAATACTTGGAAATAAAGCGAAGTAGCAAAGAGACAAACCGCAATTATCTGAGCAATGAGAAAGCTTTATTTGAAAGTACGCACTTAAAGAAAGGAAAGTGCAGGTATTTTGAGAGAGGAGGCACACTGAAAGTTTGGTGATTTTGTCTTTTAAGGCTTTCAAGAATGGGACAAAGGGCGGAGGAGGGTTGTTGGGTGTAGATTTGACTCATGGTCTCCAGGTGCTTATCTCTGGTGAGAGACACCATGTCCCCTTTCCTTTATTATCAGTCCTCCAGCTAATTTTGCCCAATAAACCCAACACGAGGAATTTATTTATCCTGTTCTTCTCCAAGATAGTGGTTACCCTCAAGCAGTGGGGACATATCAGTTATGACTGCCTGCCCTGCCTTAAGATAGGCTGTTGGGTTATTGTCTGATTACCAGAGAATATGTTAGGAATCTTACTTCTTAACTCTCTGCTTTTTAAAATGGAATCTTAGCCTTAAGATGGGGTCCCTTCTGTTCTTACTATACCGTTTATACCTCAGCATTTTTCATCATAGGCAGGGAAAGTTAATCATGGTGCTTGTCCCATGTCCCTGCCCTACCTCGCTCCCACCCCCTCACTGAGGTCACCCTCACCCAGGGATGCACCCTGTCTGCTTGGGCTCTGACTGCCAGCGCTGGGCAGTTTTCTGCATGCTTTTTTCATCCTCTTTGAGCTTTTGCTCTGGGCCAACATAGCTACCCCTAGCTCTTCTGAGCTCTGCCCTTCCCAGTGCATTTAGGAATTAAATAATTATTGTATGTATGTATGTGTATATACATATATGTATGTATATATGTATATAGTTTATTATATATGTTTAACATATTTAGGAATTAAATATAATTGTTCTGAAAGGAAGAGAAAGAAGGGAAGGGAAGGACAAGGAGTTGAAGGGAAGGGAAGGACAGGGCAGTAAGAAGAAGAGAAGAGCCGACTTCCCTTCCTTCTGTAGTTCCCTTCCCTTTCTCTTTTCCTCCCTCCCTTCTTTCCTTCCTTTCTTCCTATGTTCTCAAAATAGGGAGATGATTTAGAAGATATGCCATGTTGTACACAAAGGTGATAAGAACCTGAACTGGAATGCTGGTAATAGGGTAATAGTGGATAAGAAGTGTGTGAGAAGAATTTAGGAGTTAAGATTTGCAAGGCTTTACGGTAATGACATGAAGGGGCAAAGAGAATAACTGAAGTGAACTTTCAAGTTGACCTTGGCTTGCCTTGGTGTCAAACTCATATCTGATACCAAAAATAATGATTACATTAACCAAGGCTAGACATACGGAAGGCAGAAAAGCTATCTGGAGGAGTGGAGAGTGAGAGAAGATATGAAGAATTCAGTTTTGGACATGTTGAAGGTGATATGTCTTGTAGGCATTTGAAAGTAGAAGTATGATATTCAGCTAGATGATCAGATCTGGGGTTATTGTTTAGGAATCATCAGAATCTGGAGTTGGTTAAACCAGTGATCATGACTGTTGTCATAAAGACGACTAAGAGGAGAGGGAATATCAGGTCAAGGATGGAAATCTGGGATATGTAACCACTGATGGAGTGGTAAGCAATGCAATTAATCAGCAGAGGTAAAATATTGCAGCTGCTGCTTCTATTAGGTGCCAGTACACACATTTTATTACCAGCGTGATTTTCTTTTGCTCTGTTTTCTATTTCTCTTTTCGTTTCCCTCAAAAGGATGTGAAGAGCTGACAAAACTTGACTTGACCGTCAATTTCATTGGTGAGCTGAGCAGCATTGAAACCCTCCAGCACAACATCCACCTAAAGGAGCTGTTCCTCATGGGCAACCCGTGTGCTGACTTTGATGGCTACCGGCAGTTCGTGGTGGCCACCCTGCAGCAGTTAAAGGTATGCTCATTTTAATAGTGCAAAAATCTCAGAAAAATGAACATGAACAACTTCAGTAATTCCTGGTTTATTCACAGCATTGCCAGGGAATGTGTTGTGTTATAAAATGAAATATTCCAGAAAATTATTTGTCTTTCTGAACCTGTAAAATTGTTTTAATGGCTTTAATAAACCTTTGAAAAATCAATTACATACTCTTCTCCTTTCTCATTCAGAACACACAGAGCTTAATTGAACTATTTCTTGATGAATTCAAATAATCATGAAGAACATTCATTATTACTAATAGCAAACCAGAAGCTTTGAGTTTTGGAAGTGGCTACTTTTTGTATTATATGGTCTTAAACTACTGTGCTACTAAAATTATTGTTTTTTTTTATCATTGTTTTCTCTGTGTTAGTGGTTCTCAAACTTTGGTATGCATTGGAATATGTGGATGATATTGCTGTGACCCACCCCAGAGTTTCTGATTCAGTAGGTCTGATACACGCGATTTAGCATTTCTAACAAGCTCCCCGGTGACACTGATGCTGCTGGTCCAGGGATCTCCTTTGGGAACCTCCACTCTCTCTGTTAATCTCTTATGCTCTTTCTCCCCTAATCTAGTATTTTTAGAGCCAAGGAAAAAGCATGGTTTCTAGAGAAATCACACCTGAGCATATTAAAGTAGTAATGTTAATTTTCATGCAATTTCACGAGTTCCTGACCAGCCCGTGGACCCTTGCTTCTGCAAAGAGAATTCTAATTCTGGATGTCACAAGTCTAAAATCAAAACTAAGGGATTGGCAGGGCTGTGTTCCTCCCGCTGCTTCAGGGGAAAATTTGTTTCTCTGCATTTTTTAGCTTCTAGGGGGTGCCTGCATTTTTTAGTTCATAGCCTCTCCCTCCATCTTCAGAGGCAGCAATGAAGTGTCTTCAAATTTCCCTAGCTTTGACCCTGACACTTATGCTGCCTTCTTTCCCCTATAAGGACCCTTGTGATAACACTGAGCCCACCCAGATAATCCAGGATAATCTTTTTATGGTAAAATCCTTAATCACATCTGCAGAATCTCTTTTGCTGTGGAAGGTGACATTCTGAGCAGATTAGAATGGGGACGTTCTTGGGGGGCCATTATTCTGCTGACTGCATCTTTCTAAACAACCTTAATGTCTTTTTGTGGAAAGAGGCTGGGTAAATAGATAGGTGTCTTTAAACTGGTAGCTTTGAACCTCACATTTTAATTTGTGCTTTTTAATATTTCAATTTGGAAAATCACTATAAAAATACCAAATGTAAACAGTGACCATAACAATTAATAGTATACTCTGGGCATCTTGTTGTCAAGGGTAGAACATGGGTTGGTTGGTAGTAGAGCTCAATTTTGAGTAATATATAAGGCCCATTTTTGTGGAGAGCATTTGGGAAGTGTCATTGTTACAGTTTGGAGCTATGATTTGATTTGAGGCATTGAAATTCTTTATATAGTGAGCAGTTATAAAATTAATATATTTTGAGAGTTTGTCATTAATAATTGGGTTCAATGGAAGACCTACTTATTATATTACCAGTAAAGATACCTTATAAAATGTGTTGATTATATGAAATAAATAATTATTTAGATCAAAGTTTCTGATATTTCCCATTAATAACTTTGCTTTTAATTCTGTATCACTGAGTGGCATTTTTATTATATCTAAGTTTGCAATGTTCCAATCAAACTCAAGTTGGGGCTGATTCAAATTGTGACTTTTGAATAATTGCATCATGTTGGTTGGTTTTTTTTTTTTATCCAAGTGGTTGGATGGTAAAGAAATAGAGCGTTCAGAAAGGATTCAGGCATTGCAGAATTTTCGAGTAATTGAACAACAAATCAAAGAGCAGGAGAAAGCCTACTGCCTCAGACGCACCAGAGACAAGGAAGAGGCTCAGAGGAAACTGCAAGACGAGGGTAAAAATGAAGCCAAGGAGGAAAGAAGTCATCCAGACTTGGAGGGACACTGGCACCCAGACATGAATGCTCCTCGGTATGTAAATTATGAGTTTACTTTCTAGTTAATCTCTGTGAAAAGCAGCAAACTATGTTGTTGTTCCAAGATGACTGAAGAATAAACTAGGATGTGAATTTGGGAGAAGAGTATGAATATCCCATTGTTTATGACAATTTTATGAGGTTTTCTCTCTTAGAAAAAAAGTGCCTTTCCAAACTAGCAACTTTTATTTGTATCTAAAATTATCTTCAGACAAATCTCTCTCTAAGATGCACAGGGAAGGTGAATTAACGGGTATGCTTTGATTTATAAAATAGGGATATTTTAGAAAAATAAAATGCAAATCACATTATTATAAATTGAATCATTTTCATCACATCATAAAATGTTCTGTTTTGTGAATTACATACTGAATACATTTTTAATGTGATTAGTAAATCCCTCAATTGGTCTTTTTTACAAACATGAATTTTTCATATTTAATTATTTAAGGGAACTGTGACTGAAGTTCATTGATTTGATTCCATATAGTGAAAGCTTTAAATATTTTGGTAATACACTCTCTTAAACTACTTGAACCTCTTAAAATAATTATTATAAAATATTACAGATATACATACATGTTAAAAAAGTAAATAGACAGCTATAGTTCCACCACACATGTTTGCTTTGAGCCTTTTGTAAAATAACAAAATATCACTGATAGAGTAGAAGCCCTCTAAGAATTTCTCCCCCATTCCATTCCTGGTTTCATCCCCAGGGATATCCACCATCTAAAGTTAGTCTGTATTTAATATATGTTGATGGCATCCACATTTTTTATATATTTACTATGTAATTATGCCTCCTCAAACAAGAGTAGTTGTGTGCATTAGCATGAATGATATCTTTCTACAACTTGGCTTTTCATTTAACATTCTGTTTTTTGAGACTTATGCATATGAAGGCATGTAGAATTAGTTCATTCATTCAAAGTATATAATAACATTCCATTGGGTGAATAAGTTACAGTTTAACCCAGAGGTGATAATTCAGAATATGTAACAGCTAGTCATTCATTGGCCCTGACCAATCAGAATACGCAGCAGCTCTAAAAACTCACATGGCCCTCCTAGGGGTGTCATGGTACAGCCATCCCTCTTTCTGTGGCCATTTAGGTTGTTTTCCTTCTTTCATTTTCTCAGACAATGGTGCTCACATGTTTTTGTGCAGGTGTGAAATTAAGCAGTGACATTGCTGCATCATCAATTGTGAACATCTTTTTAACTTCATATGCATTGCCCATTTGTCTTCTAAAGTTCAGTACATTTGACCCTTGAACAACACAGGGGTTGGAGTGCTGACCCCCTGTGCAGTCGAAATCCATGTATAACTTTTGACTGCCCCAAAGTGTAACTACTAACAGCTTACTGTTGACCAGAAAGCTTTCCATAACACAATCAATAACACATATTTTATATATGTATTATACACTGTATTATAATAAAGCAAGCTAGAGAAGAAAATATTTTTTTCAAGTGGTTGCAAATCTCCCCCAAATCTTCCAATATTTGAAAACTAAAAAATTTTAATTTGAAAAATTTGAAAAAATCTACATATAAGTGTTTGTGCTGTTCAAAGCTGTGTTGTTTAAGGGTCAACTGTAATTCACACTCATATATCAATAGTAGAGGAGAGTTCCTAATCTTTGCTAATGCTAGAAAATAAGATATTTTAAAACATTGGTCAGTCAAGTTGGTTGTTAAATAGCACCTAATATTTTGCTTAATTTGCATTTCTAGAAGTACTAGTGAGTTTTAGTATCTTAAGTGTGTTCTATATGTATTGGGCTATTTAGATTTCTTCTGTTCAGATCATCTCCTTATTTTAAATAAGTTGTAAGGGTTTTTTAAATTGATTTTTAGTTCTTTTATATTCTAGATGCAAATTCTTTGGTTATATGCTTTACAAATATCTTCTCCCAGCTTTTGATATGTCATTAATTTTAATAAATCCATCTGTTTATAGAATTCAAAAACAGTGTTGCAGTTAAAGTTATTTTTGTACTTTTAAGTCTTGTTTAGGACATTTTTCATTACCCAGCATTGTATCTATTTATCTGGAATTAACCTTTGGCCACGGTGTGGGCAGAGTACTGATCGTGGCCCATACGATCAGCTGTTTGTCTCAGCCCCATTCATCATGGCGCTCTTCTCCCACTGATTGGTAACCCCATCCTTGTCTCTACACACATACTAAGACTGCTCCACGGGAGCACCTCCACATGGTTTGAACTTCCATGGACTTATGATAGCTTTTGGTATTGTGTAGGAGATATTCTTATTTTTCAAAATTATCTTGACTATTCTTAGTTCTTTACTTTTCTGCAAGAATTTTCAAATCTACTATTCAAATTCCTCAAACATCCCTCCTGTAATTTTGATTGGAATTTAATTTAATTTATATGTTAATTAAGGGAAAGCTGATATCTTCATGACATTGATTCTTTCCTTGTTGAACTTTGGAATATGTCTGTTTATTTAGACCTTCGTCAGAGTCCTTCAATAAGGTTTTATAATTTTCTCTATAAAGGTCTTATACCATCTTTTATTAGACTTATTTCTAAGTATCTTGTAGAACAGGATTTAAAAAATAGCCTTGTAATTAGTTCTTCTGCTGTATACTGATATCGTATAAGCAATCTTGCTGACCTTTTTAAAAAGATGCATTAGTCTGTAGATTAGCCTATGTTTTCTATGTAGAAAAAACACACTTTTTTTTAATAAACAGCAACTTTAAAAAAATTTCCAATCTTTCTGCTGTGTTTTATGTTTTCTTTCTGGTGCTTGCTAAGACCTCCAGGATGGGTTGGACTAGCAGCAGTGAGAACAGGTTTCTGTATTCTAACTTCAAAAGAAATGCTTCCAATTTCTCATCACTGAGTACATAGTGTTTGCTGTGAGGTTTCGGTAGAGTTAAGTAAGTTTCCCTTTTTTCCAAGTCGATAAAGAGCTTTTATTATCACAGATACTGGGTTTTATTATATGCTTCCTTTGCATCTATTGAGACAATTACATTTTTCTGTTCTTGTGTTGAATCACATTAATAGATTTTCCAATGTTAAACCCTTCTTGATTTTGAGAATAAACTCACTTTGTTCATGATATATTTTAATGCACTGCTGCATTCATTTTGTTAATATTTTATTTATAATGCTTATACCTATGTTCATAAATGAATTTATGCTGCAATAAACACTTTCATTCTATTTTTCCTATTGTTTTACATCAGATTTCTAATAGGTACATAAAATGGATTTGGAATCATTTCCTAGTTTTGGTTTATGAAAGTTTACAAGGGTTTAAAATGATTTGCTCCTTGCATTCTAGTGGAAGCACACAGCTGGGCTTCTTGCAGGTACCAACTTGCTTACCCCACAGGACTAGTTGGTCCTTCAGCTAGTGGGGATGGAGGAAATGAGCAATGAAGTCCATGTCCCTTTCCCCATGCACAACCCAGTCTTAGTTGTTTGAGGGGAGAAGGGTTTGGAGAGGGATGTGAAAGGCTTTGATCTGGATGTAAGTCTGAAGTTTATTTGAACTGCAGGCCTTTTTATACTTGAAAGTCTATGTTTGCAGAGATGAGACTGTTCTTGGAAGTGACCACAGGGCCATGGGATCTGCTCTTGAGCGGGAGGAGAGTTGTGAGAGGGCAGATTTGAAAGAAGGGTTGGTGAGAAATTTTTTGTTGTTGTTTGTTCCTAATGAGCTCATCAATTCATTAACCAGCTCTGTACATTTATGCATTTTACATAGAAGACTTATGTTATTTAGCTGATATGTCTATAGTTTTCTTAAGTATAATTATTTTTTTTAGATTGCAGAAGGTAAAAGTGAACCAATTAGTCACTTCACAGCAATAAAAGACTTCTTTTAAATGAGAATATAACCAATTATTTCAGTAATTATTAGCTAGAAGATTGTAGAATATCACAGATCCCCTTAATAAATTCCTTTTTCAACACCATGAAGTACTACAGCTATGTGGCAAAGCGCTGGTTTTCAGTCACTTGTGTTATTATGCTCATTAACCATCTATTTGCATTTCATAGTATATAAAAACTCTAAGCAGAATCTTACTCTGTGTTCTGTTTACATTATTTAAATTTCATTTCATGATGGAGTATTTTTGGTTCTTCTCTTCAAAAAGCATCTTATTCAAGGGCCAACTAAGTGAGCCTTTTGTCTCATTTCATTTTGGTAAGAACAAGAACAAAATCTAACATTTAATAAGTACTTACTATTTGCCGTACTTGGTGCTAAAGGCTTTGTGTGGGTTTTCTCATTAATGTCATGAAATATATACTCATAATAGAGTATATATTCTAGGGAGAGGGGAGGGGAGAAAGGTTTACTATTTGAATGATGGCATTTTTCTCTTTGCTAGAATAGAATCTCTTGAAAGTAGAGTCAGTGTCTGTCCTGACCAGGGTCACATCTTTTGTGCTGGCATGCACAAGATGCTTGGTAAATATTTCTTGAATCTTTGTTGAACTAGTTTTGAGTATCTCATATAATATCTATTTGATATCATATAGAGACATCATTTTAATTCTCTGATAACCCAGAAAACATGAATCAAAAGGAGAACACAACACTGTTATCATATAAAACTATAAATTCAGAAGTTATCCGTAAAAAGTAGGGTAGGCAGAGGCCATATCATGGGAGATCTCATATGTCCCACTAGAAAATATTGGGGATGAAGAACCATTGAAGAACCCGGCAATAATATGATCCGGTTTGCCTGTTCGAAAGATCCCACTGGGCGCTTATGAAGGGTGGGACTGAGGAGTGCAGGACTGGTAGTGGGTGATTGCTAAAGCCCAGTGGTCCCTGAGTTTGTCTCCTTGTTAGACAAAATTCCTGCTCCTGCAGGATATTTTACAACACAGATTCCTGGGGCCCACCCCAAGGCTAGACTTTCTGGTGGGAGTCCAGAAAAATGCTTTTTATAAAGCTCCCCACGTGACTCACATTAACCCAGTCTGTGCACCCTAGAATCAGATTACTGCAATGCTCCTGGCGATAAATGATGAGGGCCTGCCCCAATGTGGGACAGTAATTTCCTCCAGCTCTGCTCAGATAGGCTCTCTTCAGGCACAGTTTTGTCATTCAAAGGTAAGAAGATAACATAAGAAAAATGTATGTGATATTTAAGGGGTAGCACTGAGAACGAGACTTAGACATCATTTATGGGTCTCTCTATTCGTTCTTTCCTAGCCCACTGTCTGTAGAGAGTAAAGACCTTCAGGCACCAGAAATGCAAGAAGAGGAATGCAGGAAAATGGAATTAGAGGTCAGCAAAGATGACCTGGAATTCTGGAATAAGCCCTCTCTGTTTACTCCTGAATCTAGATTGGAAACTCTCAGACATATGGAAAAACAACGGAAAGCCCAAGAAAAATCCAGGTATTCTATTTTTTCCCATCATTGAGAATAAGGTGACACTCTCTTTCAGAATGTGTTTTCCTGATTGCACATTTTTTTACCCTTTATCTGTGGTAAATCTTTGTTAGCCATCACATGTAGATTTTGCTTTTTGTAAGCTCAGCTTTTTGTTGAAATGTTTCTGCCAACATTTATCAATATCAAGCTACCTTTTTTAGAATGTTATGAATTATGGCACTTTAGGTAGGGGTTTATTTGTATGTCTTTAGCTTTTTAACAACTTTAAATGTATCAAGCCATAGTATGGTGTGGGTTAGAGATACTGTATCATGGTACCAAGAAAAAGGTGGGATTAAGGAGTTCTTTGTATATTAATCTGCAAAATTAACAATCAGAAATTTGTTTCATCAGGCATTATAGTTTCTTAACAGCTCTTCTTGGATGTTCAGCAGCATATTTTCCCTTTGAATTGTTTAGATATAGTTTGATGATTTATTAGAAGCCAGAATGCTTAAGATATTATTTTCAGAGTAGCTTTTTAAAAGATAGGCTCTGTGTCATTGCATTTCGTGTCATTGCTTAGAATCACTTAGGAGAATAGTCATGAACTTGGGGATGTGATCTCTTCGCTCTGAAAAGCGGATGGCAATGACACCAGCAAAACACATGCTCTCTCCCGATGGTTACAAACAACAAGCAAGAAACTAAAAGAGTGAAAATCTATTGGACATCTCTGTTTTCATAAAATTTTCTTTATTAGTTAGATAGGGAGGTACAAAAATTAGAATCAAATTTTATCAAAAATACCTGTTTGTGAAATTCAATGCTTTGTACTCAAACAAGCTGCCCAGTGCTCCAGAAAGCGCATTGGAATAACATCAAAACATGTGGGTTCATGTTGCCACTTGGCTGCTTAATCTTTGTGTGATATCAGCAAGTACCTAACTTCTCATCTGTGTCCTCATCTGTTAAACAGGCTTTAGGAGAATCAGGTGGGCCAATAACTGTGGAGGTACCTTACAGATTCAAGAACCTTTTGAAATGGAAATTCTATGTGTTTATATAATATGTAGTATATTTCTGGTGTATATACATACACATGTATACACACATTATATTTATATGTGTGTATATATATACATATATAAAATATATTTATATACATATATAAATATGTACACACATATATAAATACATTTATATACACACATAAAATATCCATTTGTATTGAGCCTGAAATCTGGAGAACATCCCTCTGTCCCCAACGACCTGAAACGAGGGCAGCCGCGTAGGATGAAAGCCTGAGCCGCACTGTCTGGTGTCCGAGGTCTGCCCCGCGCAGTGGGTTCCCGAGCTGTTCGCCTCTTCTGGATGCCCCTGACCACCCTGGGTCATAGAGAATAATGTAGTTCATGGAAGCATGAACTTGACTGGACCGGAGGACCCAGTTTGAGATGCAGGAAAATGTGAATAAATTTATATTTTATAATAAAGCTGACTGATACAAAATCTCTATTAGAAGAACAATAGAAACCCAAGGCAAAGAATTGCTACAGTTCTGTTATCTAAATAGATTTGCCCATCTGATCTTCTAGAGCTTGTTCATAAATGCGTTTTTAAGTTTAAATATATTTTCAGTAACATTTTAAATAAAACTTACGGCCTACGTTTCTCTTTCATGTTATTCCATAAATCTTTCCTCTCATTCCATTTCTTTTCTTCCTATAGCTACCTCTTCAGTGTAGTGCATGTTAACAGTCTTGGGTTGATCCTGTCAGAACTTTCTTTACTCTCTACAATCATATAAATCATTTCCTCAAATACAGGATTTGGGGTCTTTTTAAAAAACAAAAATAAACATATATTACAGATTTGTTCTCATTATATACATCATGGACACTCTTCTATCACTTTTTGAACCAGTAGGTAAAGAGCAAACACTTTTTAGTAACTGCAAAATATTTCACAGCATGAATATTCAATCATTCCTCCACTGATGGCCACTCACAGTGGTTCCAGGGCTTCACCACTACAGATATGGTGTGATAGGTCCTTATGTAGTGGTATTTTTATTTCTACAGAATAGATTCTATTTAGCATCTTAAAAATTATAATTTTAACTCAAGCAGAAGCTGTATACACAAATAGAGAATTGACAGTTATCTGGGTAAATCATGCATAAAATCGACTCATTTAAATATTCATGGATATTTTATAAAAAGGAGGGTTTTTTTCCCTCATTTGAATTATCTGGCAAATTGTCTTGGTCACATTTTTGTTTTACAGATATAGATACAATCATACAGAAATCTGGTTTGATTGTCAATTCTCATAGAATTAAAAGAATGGAGCTTATTACAGTGAATTGTTGATGTATTCACAAATATCTAATTTATTTTTCTTAAACTGTTTCACAAAAATATTAATTACTTTTATATTTTCTTTGTTTATTTTTCCCTCTCCCCACTGCCCTTTGTTCCTACCCACCTCCAATCTTAAGTGAAAAAAAGAAGAAAGTGAAACCACCCAGGATTTTGGTCACCAAAGATGGGAAAGCTCTGAATGTAAATGTGCCCAAGTACGTAAGACTAAACAGAGACTTGAAAAAGCAAAATTTGTGGGGCTGATCATTACAATGGTTTCAATTACAGTTTGCTTTGCGGGGAATATATCTGACTGCTCTTAACACCCTTGATGAGCCTAAAAAGAATGTGATTTTGTGCATATTTGAAAGCAAAACATCTATTATGTTCTCAAATGCATAGTGTTATATTTCATTTTCTTGGCATGCAAAAAGGTGATCTTGACATAGGGAAATCATAGGTATTTATGTATTTCTTGAAACATTGGACCATCTACAATTTTATGCCTAAAAATTCCAAGTGCATTATTGTTGTGATTATTCATTTTTAAAATTCTGCCATGTACAACCTGGCTGAGAATATGATATATCTCCTCTACATCTACTTTATACTCTGGAATATGTCTACAAAGCATTTGAGAGCTAAGAAAAGAAATTGATATAAATACCTCTACAGTTAATAAGAGAGGTAAAATATTCAAACTGGAAATTCTCAAGTATAATAATAATTGATGCACCCTATCTGGCTGTCTTAGATTTCAAAACTAGAAAGTAGGAAAAAAGGCCTTTTGGAGCCAACAGACAGACCAAAGAACCTATGGACTAAATCTTGTTTGCTGCATTTCATTACTCAAACCCTGTGTGCTTTATCATTTCATTGGCTACACCATTACCATGGTAAAGACCCTGTCGTCAGTCATTCCCAGGCATCATTCATTTAATCTGCATGGCAGTCTCATGTGTTAGGCAGTATTTCTTTTTCACAGGTCCAAACGTTGAGCCTGAGAGAGGTGAAATGACTTGCCCAAGGTCACATAGCTAATAGGTGGTGTGTCTGACTTGCCCATGCAAACTCAGTTCTAGTGATTTCCATGATCAAGTTTATGATTTTACCTCCTATCCCCACACACACCAGCAGGCATGAACGCAGTGCTAACACGATGGTAGGCACTGGGGATACAGCAGTGAATGTGACACGTGTCTGCCTTCACAGAGCTTAAAAATCTAAGGGGAAGATGTCTCCTTTCAGTCTACAACAGAGTTTAGGGAGACCCTCAGAGCTCTCTGCTCCTAGTAAAACCACCATGCTTCCCATCCCATTGACCACCGCACCTGCCCCTAAACTAATTTTTTAGGGGGCGTCTCCCTACCACCTCTGCCACCCCCTAACACCACCTACTGTCGTGCTGTGGTCGCCCTTCCGTGCCCTGCTGGGTCATCTGTCATCATCCAGAATCTATGTCCTGTGGCACCGTACACCTCCTAATCCAACTCATTCTCCTCCCATTCCCTGGCCACCCCCACCTCAGCCCTTCCACTGTACCCTCCGGAGCTTAGGCCTTGTCCACAATACCTGTATCCTCAACCTTTTCTGTCAGTGTCCCGTTTATCTTCTTTCACTGACGGAAACCAAGCATTCTGCTTCCATGGCTGCCCTGTTTGTTCTTCCTCACCACATATACTGCAAGGAAAGGCAGACCTCATCGCTACTTTCAGACCATTTTTCTTCCCTTCCCTAAACATTTCCTCTAGATATGCCTCCCCTTTTCCTCCTTATTACCATCATCTATCTACTTACCTCCTGATGAACACTCAGCCCTGCCCCACTCAATGCATTAAAGATCTTAGTTGGCACCAGACCAGTGTCTTTCTCTCTCCTCTCCCCTGTCATCAAGCTTGTGGCCTCATCATAGATGTGGATGATTGTCCAAAGCCTTGGCCTTCCCATCCCTCACCCACCTCACTCCCAGCCATCTTTCTCTCCACCTCAGCCTGACCACACTATCTACTTTCATTCTCAGATTTGCTATCATCAGTATGTCTTCCACCTCCAGAAGGTTCCCTTGGAGTGTCTCCCTGAGCACCACCTTCTGTGTCTCTGGGGAACCCCCTCCAGTCCAATGATCACATGTCCTGCTAAGACCTGAATCCGTTCCATCTACTGTTGTTCTTCCACTGTTGAACCCACCCCTCATGTTCCCACCTTCTGTCACCTGCTTTGGCTTATGATTCACAGAAATCTGTCCTTGATGTACATCTTTAACTCACTTGTCCTTCTGGCCTTCCATCATCCTCACCTCACAGCCACCCTCCCTCCCAACCTTTACATTTAATATGCCATCTGCTCCTGACTTGCCCTCACACATGGCTAGAAGAAAACACTCAACTCCACTTGTTCGTCTTACTGTAAATTTGCAACCAGATTTCAGTGGACTTCTGGCAATCTCACTGTTTTCTTGGCCAATTCATTCTCCCATTTCACACCACCTCCTCTCTTACCTCCAACACTTTTGTTTCTATTTCATTGAAAAAACAGAATCAATTAGTGTTCTCATCCAGGTTACCAGTGTACCTAGACCTGTGCCATATACTTGTCTCTCTTGCTATGACAGATGAACTTCCTTTCTGAGTCACTCACTGCTGTGCAAATCCAACCCACTCTCTGATCAAGGACACCACTTATGTAATCATCCCTTCTCTCCTGTATTAGTTCTCTCTGCTCTACTGGATCTCATCACTATACAAATGTAATATCTTCTGTCTTAAACAAAATCAAACAAACAAGAAGCTTCCCTTCCCCAGTGACCCTTGCAGCTACAGCCCACTTTTTCTGCCCCACTTAATAGCCAGAGTTCTCCGTGGAGATGTCTTTACCAATTCCTCACTTCACGTTTCTTCTTGAAACCTCTTCTGCATATTCCGGCACCCTAAACCTTCTTTAGTCACATCATTTTTATCTTCTCTGTTCATTTCAGAGTCAGATCCCATCTACTTGACCTAGAAAATTAGGCCAAACGATCATTACCTTCCTTCTTGAAGCAGGCCCTTTGCTTCTGATTCTTTGAACTCACTACCTTCTCATCTTTCTGTATTTTGCTGGATCCTCTTGGTCTTGGATCCCAAGTCCTCTGGGGCAAAGTCCTCAGCTGCCTTCTCTTTTTACATTCATTCTTTGAGGATCTCTATCAAATTTCATGGCTTTAAGCACCATCTTTACATTACCCACAGCCAGACCCAACATCTTCCCTGAGCGCGAGACTTATATACTCAGCTACTGACATCACTCTGTAGATATAAGATAGGTTTCATAAATTTAATCACAATAAAAACAGAAGTCCTAATTTCCATTCCCATCCCCACTACCACCTTCCCCCATAACATGCTTGTCCCCCAGTGTTCTACATCCCAGTAGTGAGCCTGTACCCATTTGGTAAGACCAAAAACCTTGGGCTCACCCTTGATTATTCTCTCACTTTACCAATAAGCCCTATGGGCTCTTCCTTCGTATATCCAGACTCCAACTACTTCTCACTGACGCCATCACCACCACCTTAGAGCAAGTGAACTACTTGCTGGACAACTGCAGTAGCTTGTTAAACAGTCCCTATGGTCCATCTCTTGGCTTCCTATAATCTCTTCTGCTCAGCTGAGTATAAAACAAGGGAGGAAAGGACACACACTCCATCTCTTTAAGAAAATTCCTGGAAAGCACCATACAACACTTTCCTTCACAGATCAAAATCACCTGACCTCATCTAGCTACAAGGGAGGCTGGAAAATGTACCTTTTATTCTGCATAAGCATGTTCCTAGTTCAACTCAGGAGTCCCTGTGCATAAATGGGGAGTGGATCATGGGAAATGAATAGTGATCTCTGCCATAGAAAAGCTCTCCAAAACTACCTTTCAAGTAAAATATGAAGGGAGAATTTAAGTTGCCTGGCTGGAAAATTGGGGAATAAGCTATAAAGGCAGAGGAGACAGCACACAGAAAAGCTGAGATGAGATCAAGAATGCATGGGTCGCTTGAGCAGCCGAAGGGTCCTGAATGGCTGGTTGGTTTGAAGTAGTGTGAGTGACGGCCACAAGCAGGCACGCTGCTGGCAGCCAGATCTATAGCTAACTTTACATTTCCCAAGCAATTGGGCCTATATTCTTTAATATTGTTGGGTTACATATTTTACAGAATAAAAGGATTAATGAAATGTTCAGAATAAATCAATCAAATAATTCTGAATAATATGTTGAGGCCTTAAACCTAGGCCTCAGCCTTAGGTAGTTAGTTAAAAGACATAGGGGCTGAAATTCAGCCTCTCCAGGCTCATGTCAACCTCTCTGAGCTTCTGTTTCTTCATCTGTAAAATCTGAAAGATGCATAGTGCTTCAGCATATTCCAGGGCCGCGGAAAGGTCAGCAATGAAGGGAAGAAAAACAATGGCAAGAAAATTAAAAGGGACTGTTTCAAACGTAAGGATTGGAAAGCTGGGAAGGGAGTGGCAGATGTGACATTTGGTTCTCCAGAAGTGATTCTGGTGTTTCTGTTTGCCTCTAGCAAAATCAAATGAAATGGAAAAAAAAAACCTTTAACCACCAGATGTCTCTATCTCTGCAGCAATGCTAATTTTTTGTATGTAATTTACCTTAAGACTCTCATGTTTAAACAATGTAAACAAATAACATGAATATGTTGTAGGTTTCTGCTGAAATTTTTAAGTTGATGTACACATTTTGTTATCCAGCTTCCAAAATAAGTTTGCCATTAGAGATCATTATATAATTATCAAATTCACTTTGATACTGGAATGGGTTATCTATACAATATTGCTGAAGATGTAACCTATTTTCCCCCAAATGGATTATTCCTTAGACTTGACTTCTCTTTGAAAGATGATGAAAAACATAACCAGATTATCCTGGACCTTGCTGTCTACAGGTAAAGATGTTTTGTTATGTATTTATTTAATGGCATTTCTGTCTGTTTTCATTCTCAGCTGTAATCTCTTGAGTTCTGCAACATTTTGAAATGAAATTTTCTTTTCCATGTGACCAAATGAAGTTTTTTTTAAGATGAAAATTTACTGTAATGTTAAAAGTATGAAAATTAAAATAAAAGGCAAAGTAAATGCACAGTCTGTGACTCCGGCATATCTCTCTCTAAGGCAAAGTTAACATAATTCTCAGAGCTTTGCTGTTTCCTTATGCTGACCCCACAAGGACTTCTCTGTAGTGCCACTCACTTTTATATTCCTCTGTGTTTTTTCCAACACTTTGACGTAATAATAAACAGCAGGTGGGGCCCCCATCTCGGAGGCCTGAGCATATACCCAGCAGCCTCTTTACCCCCCTGCAGGCAGACACTTCTTCCCAGGTGGTGTCCTACATCATGACTGGCTTGTCCCCCGCACCCTGTGCCAGTGGGCAGGAATGGCACAGGCAGCTTGCTTGCCCTCGTCGCCACATCGTGACTGGCCGTTGCTCTCTCCTTCGATCTCTGTCACACCATCAGTCTATGTCGCCTTCCACTCTTCCTTGTTGATGTCGTGTAAAGTCATCCAGGTCACTGTGCCTCCTTCCTTGAGGACCGTAGGCACCAGCTTGCTGCCTTTCACACCCCTGATGTCAGCACCCACCCACTTGCAGGCTCTTTCCCCGGGGCCTCAGGGCTTTGCATGCATGCGTCCCTCTGCCCACACCACTCTCACCCTGGGTGGCTGTGTGGCTTGGTGCTCATTTCCTTCGGCTTCTGCTCAGCTGTCACTTCCTTAGAGAGGCATCTCTGCCCCAGCATCTGATAGGAAACAGTACCTACCCTGCCCCAGCACTTCTTTCCACCTCTCCCTGCCTTTTGATGTCTGCCTGACAAACTACACTTTTGTCTTTAAAAATGTGTGGTCAAGGCAGGACTTTGTTTTGTTTGTTTCTCCCTCCTTATTGTAAGATAAATTTTAGCTGAAATAAGCAGGCGAAGAGAGGCAACAAAGGGCCAGGTAGTTTATTTGAGTGCAACTCCTGGGTGATGTTCCGCAGTTGGGGTACCACAGGCCGGGGAAGTCACACCCGGTCAGGGAGGTGGGGGCTTATAAGGGGTTAGGAGGGGGAGGAGTGGGCAAGCTATCCTAGGGGGCGTGGAGAGGTATGATTGGCTAATTGTGATATAATAGACAACTAGAAACTTTTTTCCTTCCAAGAGGGAGGAGGCTGACATCTGGGTCTTAGTTGGCACATCAGAAGGATGGAATTCAGAAACAGCTGTCCCCTTTCCATATAAGGCATGCACCTTGGGGTCTGGTCTGTTCTCCTTTTATGGTATCTCTCTGTTCTGTTTGCATGTCCTTGTTTTTCCTTCCTCCAACCTAACACTTATGTCACCAGCACCTAAAACAGAGCCTGACACCTGGCAGGAGTTCAGTAAGTCCAGGAATGAATGAATGAATGCTAATGATGGGAGTCAATGAACATTTATATGCATGCATTATAATAAAGGCCTTTCTCTTTTTTACAAGCTTTTTTACATGCTCTGTCTTATTTAATCTCTTAGTAACCCAGTGAAGTAGGAGGGATTGTTATCCTAGCATTACCCAAAAGGGCATAAATTTTCAGAGGGTGAGTCTTGTCAAAGTAGAGATAGTAACTGGAGGAGCCAGAATCTGTACTCTCAGGCCTGGGTCCAACTTTGTTTTTATAATCGTGGTAAAATACACATAACTTAAACCTCACCATTTCAGTTATTCCAAGTGTATAATCCAGTGGCATTTAGTAAATTCACAGTGTTGTGCAGCCATCACTACTAGCTAGTTCCAGTAAAGTTTCATCACTCCAAAAGGAAACACTGTGCCAAGTAACCAGTCACTCCTCATTTCCCTGTTCCCTTGACTACCACTAACTTGCTTTCTCTCACTAGAGACTTGGCCATTCCAGATATTTCATATAAATGTCATATGTGACCTTTGTGTCTGGCTTCTTTCACATAGTATAATATCTCCAAAGTTCATTTATGTTGTAGCATGTGTCACAGGCCCCTTCCTTTTCATGGCTGAATAATATTCCATCATTTGGACAGACCACATTTTTGCTCATCCAGTCAGCAGTTGATGGATGTTGGCATTGTTCCACCTGTGACTGTCGTGAGTGGGGGCTCTTTGTGGTCCTGTCTTTGCACTGAGCTGCCTCTCTCACCCCTCCTATCCATTCTTTTGGCTACGTGCTGCCAGTCACCTGCCTTTAAAGAGCCTCTAGCTCTTCTCCAGCTGCTTTCATGCCTCTGTTCCTCCAGCAATCCAAGCTGCCCTTTCTCTTGTTTTTCAGCTAACCATTCTCTGTTTCATCCTTTTAAGCCCTTTCCATTTTTAGGCCATATTCCTGGAGTTCAGTGAATGGCATAACACTCTCTCATTTTAGCTCTGTTGGTAGTTTCACCTTCAGTCCTCAAATGAAAACTTTTCTCATCCAACTGTGTATGTACATTTTCAGGGTGTGATGATATTTCTCTTGTATAAGTAATAAAATCTTTCCATTACCATGATTCTGTCTTAACTAATTACACTAAAATTCCTTGTTATCTACATTGGCATGTATATATATGGATACTTATTGTCTGCCTCCTCCACTGGGCCATTAACTATAGGAGAGCAGTGACTGTATTTAGAACATGCTAGTTACAGTCTCCCAGTGCCTGTATATATGGATGTATATGTGAAAGTTAAGTTCATTTGTTCATTCATGTATGCTTCCTGCTTTTATTCAACAAACATTTATAGAATATCTGCTATGTGCCAGACACTGGGAGACTGTAACTAGCATGTCCTAAATACAGTCATTGCTCTCCTGTAGCTTATGGGCCAGTGGAGGAGGAAGACAATAAGTATGCAGGCAGGGGATAAGTAATCACAAAGGGAAAGGAGTGCTGTTCAGGAAAGGGCCAGAGTTCAGGGGTCAAGGGCAACGGTGTGTGTAATCTGGTGGGTGGTGGTAGAGGAATTGGTCAGGGAAAGTTGGTGACATGAGCATAGAAAACTGAAGGATGAGAAGCAGCAAGCTTTGCAAAGAACTGACAGAAGATCGTTTTAAGCGGAGAAAACCAGCACCTGCAAAGACCTGGTAGGTTGGGGCAGATGAACGCTTTAGGAGGCCCTAAACATGAACAAAAATATGTCATCCATCAAAGTGGTAGACATCAAATGTGACGTTTTAGGAAACATTAACTCTACTTTTTATTATAATAATTTTTATTAAATAAAATATAATGATGTTTTGTTAACACTACTGGGCACTATGCATGTGTCTGCATAGCTATCTTAGGGGATAGGCACTCTGCATATCCTCATTTTACAGATAAAAAAACAAAAACTGAGGCTCAGAGAGGTGATAAAACAGGAAGGGTGGAGTCAATGCCTCACGAGTCAGTGTGGCTGAAGCCCTTGCTGGCAGTCCTGGTATTGTGCTACCTGCCTCAGTGTTTGTGGTTTTTGAATCATTGCTGCATTTCGAAAGGTTCAGAATCAATATTTTAAAATGTATAAAAATAATAATTTTTATAAGTATGTAAAAAATAATTTACTTATTATTATGGCTAAATGAGTGAGGTAAAAATAGAAATCTTTCATTTGTTCATAAGCTCAAGGCAAATAAATGTGAACCAGTGATCCTGGGGTCACTGCCATGGATGGAAGGCTTTGCCGCTTGGGCAGGATGTGCCTTGAAAGGGAGAAGCAGCGCCAGTCTTGCAGGAGAGGTAATGTCAGGGCTGCTGCAGAGCAGCTAAGGAAGCTGGAGCTGGTGGCAGGCCCAAAGCATCATGGACTCAGCATTCCTGGCTATTCAAGTCAGTTTTAAGGGCTTAAAATAGAATACTCACAAAAGGACATGGCAGGCTGATTTTTGCAAACCTCTGGTGTTCCAGGCTGCAGATATTTTTAGGTTAGGGGCAGTCAGTGCCAAGTGTACTTGTGGGTCTAAAAATGAAATTGCTGATATATTGAATTTCCTTTGGTCTGGGGATTAATTGAACGCTAATTTTTTAAGACCTGTTTAGCATGGAGATTGTAAACTCCTGTCATTTAAAATGGTCCTGCAAGTGTGAATTTGTATTTGCACTTCTTTAAACTTAATGTTTTTGAAAATGGTAAGATTTTCGTGTGTTTAATTTTGAAGGTATATGGATACATCTTTAATTGATGTAGATGTGCAGCCGACTTACGTGAGAGTAATGGTCAAAGGAAAGGTGAGTAGAGCTGCTGTAATTTCAAGAGCTAAGGTTGCCTCAGAAGTTTTTAAAGTAATATTAAAATAGAAAAAGAGAAACCCAGTCAAAGAACTACTTTTTAGACACGTGATTTTATACAGCAGAAATGATTGCTGACCATTGGGTATCTTGATATAATTAGCATTTTTAACCTGTGTCCATTGCATTAGTACTCCTTTCACAGCTGGTAAGATGGACACACATGTGGTAGCTTATGTTTGATATTATATTTTAAAAATATATGTAAATCATCAGTGATTTCACTCATAGCAACTTTAATGTTATCATTTTTTAAATAGTATTTTTTTGCTGATTCTGAGCATTAATATGAGTTAGCTCAAAGACATTAAAGTAGAAATATGTTGTTTTATGAGAAGTTTTATGTGTAATCAGCCTATTTAATGTAAATGGACCAAGCATTTCAGTTTGTGATCCATGACTATTTAGACTATTCATTAAAATAGGTAAAGCAGTGCATGCATATCAAGCATAGCCCATATATTATTTTGTTCCTAATAAGTCTAAGCACATTTTTAAAACAGAGCAGTGAATCTTAAATTTGTAATGAAAATACCTCTTGAAGTAACCCTCTCCTGTAATATGCGCTCATTCTCCATGACCCTTCCTGCTCATGTTCAGCCATTTCAGCTGGTTCTTCCTGCAGAAGTCAAGCCTGGCAGCAGCTCTGCTAAAAGATCTCAGACAACAGGGCATTTGGTGATCCACATGCCCAAGGTAGGCGATGCCATTTGGGTCGATTTCATGTCTGGATATGTTGGTTCCTGAATGAATTTGACCAATCAGGGCTAACAATGACTTCTGATCAATGTTCTTTGGTTTAAGAGAACCAGAAAATCTACTTACCCCAACTCAGGAGAACAAAGACCTGGGAGAACAGAGCTGAGCAGAGGATGTCTTCGGGGCCTGTAGACACTCATCCCGCCATCACTTGCCTACTGGTTCTTGCCTCTACCACCTTTCCCATCTCTGCAGCAGAGTTGGGGTGGGAGCTGGGGTGTGTCAGTTTCCTGGCTCTCCTACGTGGGGAGGTACCACTGAGTATGTCTATTACATGGTGACTGGTACTTTCCTTACAAATAACTTTGAGACGAGACGTGGTAGTAGGCCTTAGATCTCTAAAAAATTGTGTTTGAATTCTAAATCTTGAGCTTACCAGCTTTGTGACTTTGTCTACTGTCGTTCTTAAGAGAAATGATATACATAAAATTCATAGCAGCGTGAGCACTTAATGAGTATTACTAGTACCACTTTTCATACAGACTAAATATTATTTTAACTAAAATTTTGTCTTTTTGGGGGCAGTGTTGGTGTACATGACCTTTTGATAACAGCTAACTTCTAAAGCCTGATAAAACTGCCTCTGTGGACTTTCAGACCCCTTAACTTTGATCAGAGTTGGGCCTCTGAAATAGAAATTGTTTAGAAGCCTGAACAGGCTTGACATAAATAGATGACAACCTTAAAGAACTTAAGGAAATCAAACTTAAAAAAAATTAGTTTGTCTAATGAAGTATCTGAATTCCTCATTAGAGGATATATGAATGAGTTTGGAGGTTTCCAGCTGCAAGCTGCTGAAACCCAAAAAGAACTGGCTTTAACCGTGAAGAAATGTTTCATCTCTTGAACTAAGATACAAGAAGGCAGGGAGGGTCTACACAGGGCAGGGGCACAGCCTTCCTCATATGTTAGCTTTGTCCTCGGACTGGCTTCCTGCCTGAGAGGAGCACTTGCAGCAACTTGGGTGACATGGTTTCTTGTTCTTACTTTGCACGAAGATAGGGAGCCAGAGACAGACACAGAGAGGATCTCACCCATCACTATGGTATCAAAGTTCCTCCGGACTGTTAAGGCCATTTTAGCTGAAGAGCCCAGCAGGTCTCAATTGCACCCTGGGCAATGGAAACCAATCTCTGACCAAAGAAATAATGATACTTTGTTTTGTTTCCATTATTTTTAATTTGGTTCCTATTATCTCCTCCCATGAGTTGGAGGTGGAGTCAGGTTTGCCTAAGCCACTCAGGTGTCAAAGGGGAAGAGTGGGTAAGCCAGTGGGGATGGGGTTGTGAGGGGGAGATGCGGCAGGAGCCTCTGCTGCAAAGATTATAATGTCATTAACCAATAAGGTTTCTGCAGTGATTTAATAATCCTTTAGGTAGTTTTTTAACCATTTGATTATCAATTATGTATCTTTACTCTGAGATAGTAAAAGAGTAAATACAATTTGTTGTCAAGCAATAAAATAACAAACACAGCTGTCAGAATGGCAATGTCCTTGGTGATCACAACAAACTAAGGAAGTGCTTCTATGCTAGTCAGAGTCTCCTGTAAGGAAATGTTAGAGGTACTTAATTACCTCAGCACTTTGATAGAGACGTTAGTGAGACACTGTGATCAGCACTCTTTTTTTTTTTAAGTTCCATTTTAACAAAGATTAAATGGTAACTGCTATTTCCTAAAAGGGTATCAAGACACAGGATTTATGTACCTTTTGAAGCCTACCAGACAACTGATCAGAAAAACCTCTCCTGTCACTCCTTAAAAATCTTTTAAATACACACAACATCCTATTTCCATTATCCCTTTTGTATTTTTATGTCTAAATTTTTCATATTAAATATATGTGAAAAGTATAAAAAATGACTTATTAAAGGAAAAGTATGATACAAGTGCTTGGTTGAAGATAGTTTACATAGAAGGACTCAGAATGGTTCTATCTTTTCTTTTCCTCAGTAATGAACTATGAATAACATTTTTCCTTTGAGGTTTATATATTTTAAGGTTTTAGATTACTATGATGTATAAGTTCTCTCATTGTTCCTTTTAAAGTATTATTAATTTATTTCCTTTAATAATTCCTTCATATATCTCTATCATTATTCCTTTTAAAAGTAGAGAATCAGTAAAAGCAACTTTTGGAGAATAACTTCTTGCCCCAAATAAGCTGTTTTCATTTATGAGCTAGGTATTTTCAAGGCTATAAACTTCAAAGAACAAAAACTTTTTCTTAAAAATCACCAAAAGTTAAACAAAACTTTAACTTCACTTATGCTTAATATTAAAGATATGTATTACTGAAAATTAACATCTTCATAATTCCTAATGATCAAAACATTTGAAGTACTGAAGCTCTATCCACTGAGCTATTTCTGTCTAAGCTTTGAATTTGCTGTAGAATTGTCTATGTCTGGCCTGCATTATAATTACTGAGGCATTTTTTTGGAATTTTAAAGCATATTGTAAAAACCAGGTAGACATTTAGGTGCAATTTTGATTCATTCATGAAATAGTGTTGTCAGTATTAAATATGTTGATAACTTAGTACTTCCAGAAATACTAATGTAGTCCCTAGTAGTTTATAATATTTGGATATTCTAATTAATGAAAAGGAGATCAGATTTGATGTTCAGTCATACCCTTTTGTGATAATAATACTTGTAAAACTGTAACAAGCTGACCTATATGATATGTCTGTGCTATGGTGATTGTATTATGCTTATTTGTGGAAATTCAGTGATGAACTCTGTGTACATCTTCCAAGGACATAAAATTTGTGATTGAATCCACAAAATGGTAAGATATTTCTTCAGCATTTTGTCATACATGTCAAATTGATATTTTTCTCTTTTTTTACCCTAAATGAGGCTGTACGGACTGGGTGCTGATTAATAGACAAATTTCATCAAATCTGTTCCCTGTCACAGGGGCCATGGCTAAATTTTCTGTTGCTGGCATGCCAGTGGGTTCTCCCAGCTCAGCTCCATATTCCAAGAGGCTTTCCCCTCATGCCAGCTCTACAATGCCAGATAATTCCCAGTATCTGCCACCGAGTCCTATACTGTAGATTGATGAAATGCACAAATACCACCATCCGAAACATACAGCCAGAATTCCTCCCTCTCTACCACCTTTATAACTTAACATGTGGGTACCACGTCTCCCAGAATGCCAACCTATGCTGTACTGACTCTACCAAGATTTCCAGGGTTGATGCCTTGGCTTGAAGTGGTGAGTGGAGGTGTGGATGAAGAGGTCTTCTTGCTTTCTCGGGACAGTAGCAGCGGGCAATAGAAGCTAACTGCCCAGGTGGTAGAGGGGTGGGAAACAGTCTATATTTCATGAGCTTTCCTCAGGCCTGTCCCACTGGTTAGTGGCATTTCTTTCTAGTTTCTGGCACTGTTTTATTCAGTAGGCTTAGCTTTGGGAAGTGGCAGAGAGGATCTCAATTTCCAGTGTGTGCAGGCTTTTATTACATTAGATGTATCCAGTCAAGAAAAAGGGACACATGGAAGTCATCTACTCACCAGGAACTCACTCTTCTTTTTTGGAGAAGAATTAGTAATTCCTTTTTCAACACAGCAGCTAGAATGATCTTTTTATAGTATATGTAAATCATACCAAGTCATGTTTCCCATTTCATTCAGAGTCAAAGACAACATCCCCTGATAACCTCCCCCTGCCATTATCCTTCTGATGTCATCTTCCACCACTTACCCTCTAATCATCCCAGCCACAGTGACTTGTTTCACAGACGTGGCAAGCATCCTTCTATCCTAGGACCTTGGCACTTGCTGTCCTGCAAATGCTGGAATGCCCTCCCCCTGATGTCCTCATGGTTTGCCCTCTGACCTCTTTTGGGTTTCTGCTCAAGTGCCATCTTTTCATTGAGACCTTTCCTGACTCTGTGTTTAAAAAGCATCTCCTCTCCTGTCCCAGCATTCTCTGTCCTCTGTTCCTGCTGTGTTTTTCTTCATAGAGTGTATCACAGTCTATACATTTATTTCTTTGTCTCTCTCAACAAGGATGTCAGCTTCATGATAACAGGATTTTTGCCTGTTGTTGCCTCTATTGTGTTACTGGCACCTAGAACAGAGCCCAGAAATGATTAGGCATCCAATAAATTTTTGCTGAATAAGTGAATACATTGAATGCATCTTTAAAGTACATTTTAATAATTACAAAATTTATCTCCCCTAATTGTTCTGTCTCCCAACCATTTCCTCATTATTTTTCCATGTATATCATTCGGGTTTAACTTTAAAAATAATTTTATCAAATCCTGTCTCCAAAAATGCCATTGGAGTTTTTATTGTCACTGTGGTTTAGAAGGAGCGGAAAGTAGTGAGTAAGGTAATAGGCTCTGGGGCCCGAGGCCCTGGGCTGAACCCTGACACTTCTACTCAGTAGTTGTGTGGCCTCGGGCGAATTATTAATCCCTGATGCTACAGATTCCTTGTCTGTAAAATGATATTAATAATAATTCATACCTCAGAAGGTTATCTTGAGGATTATATAAATTAATACATGGAAAACACCAAGACATATTCGGGACATAATACACACTGTATTACTGTTTACTGTTAACTAATGCTATGCATTTTCCTGGTGATTAATATTGTTAAATTAATTAATTTTATCCATTCCGATTAACCAATATTTTCATTATGGAGATTTATTTTGAATTTATAGATTGTTGTGAAAATGAATTGATGTATTTACATAATCAAAACTGTATCTCTAATAATGTATGTTTTTCCATTTATTACTCTTATTTCATGTCCCTCTGCAATTCTTTTTGTAGTTTTCTCTTCAAACCTGCTACCTATTTTCAAAAGTTTATTTATAGATACCATTCATGTGATTTAGTTCCTATTTTGGATGAGGTTATTCCCCACTGCATCTTCTGAGAGTTTATGCTTGGCCTTCAGTATATTTTC